ACCTGATCTGGTATAATCTGACCTGATCTGATGTGATTTGACCTGATTTGATGTAATATGACCTGTTCTGATATGCTTTGGTGCCATCTGACTTGAGCGGATGTGATATGAAGTGATCTGACCTGATCTGATGTATTATGCCCTGGCCTGATGCGATGACCTAATCTTATGTGATATGAACTGATCTAATTTATTTTGTGAGTGTATATGGATTGACCTGATTTGATTAATTCTGATGTGATCTGACCTTATCTTATGTGATCTGACCTGATTAGATGTAATCTGATCTGATGTGATCTGACCATATATGATGTGGCCTGATCTGATGTATTTAACCTGATTGATGTGATATGTTCTGATTTTACCTGTTCTGACTTAATATGACGTGATATGATGTAATCGAACCGTATTTGGTGATCTGACTGTATATGATATAACCTGATTTGACCTGATATGACTTGCTGTATTTGACGTGATGTAATTTGACCAGTCTGATGTGATCTGACCTGATCTGATGTAATTTCATCTGATCTGAGCGATGTGATCTTTTGTGATCTGACCTGATCTGATTTCATCTGACCTGATCTGATGTTATCTAACCGTATTTCGGAGGAGGAAGTGGTGGTGAAGGACCACCATCACTTCCCCCTCCAACATTCTCTCCTCGAACTTTTCCTCCTCTTCCTCTTTTTCCTCCTTCTTTCTTATCAAATATGATTATCATTAGGGGGAGGGATGGAACGAATGTGTTGCTAATGCATGGATATGTGATGGTGTTGATATGTGTGTGTTTTGTGTATTAATATACATATATATTTTTCATTTTTATGCCATTCAAGTCAATCCAACCGTGTATTTATTGTCATATTCTATAATCATGGAGAGGATTCATGTACATTCTTATTTATTTACTGGGACCTGCAAAGGTTATGAGAGTGGGAACATAATATGTTGTAATCACAATTTTGGGAAGGAGTTTAGGTTATTCTGGCAATGTCCTTGCAACATTCCTCTTGCTAAAAAAATACTTCACTAACTCTTACCCCTCGTATTTGCCTCGGCCGGCCAGCCTCAGGAAAGCCATGGCCCTGCGCATGTCCCACGGGAAGCCCCTCACCCCCACCGGGTTGAAGCGCTAGACGACCTTGGGGAGCTGGACCTGGATGTGGAACCGGCGCTCCGCCTCCTTGGCCGCAGCAACCACCTCCTAGAGGACCTACTCCGCAACGACGAGTGCTGTGGTGACCTTTTTCGTGTCCACCAAGGCCTGCAGCTGATCGACGGCTTCCTGGAGGACCTCTTG